CACAGACACAGAGGGGCACAAAATACTGTTTAAATATGATTTAATACTGTTTAAAATACTCTTTAAATCATTTATAATGAAACAGGGAACAGCACCTGCCGGACGAGACCAGGCAGAGCGATGCCAGGCTGCCGTCTTTGTTTACAACAGCTCTCAAAATGCCGTTGTCCATCAGCACAGTCCCATCAGCCTACGGAGGAACACACTTTAAACAGGAGTGTTTAAAATGACATGAGGTATTAGACTATAAAACAGTGAGAAGAGTGTGGTGTAGTGAAGCGAGGTGAGGCCGTACCTGCACCGTGACAGACACTGGACTCAGAGGTTCTGTTGGTTTGACCGGAGCTAAACCAACACTGGGGACCTGCACCAGAGCTGGACACACAAGCAAACTCAGATTTACAACATTTGAGACATTTGACAAAAAAAAAAACTAAAAAAACATTGGTATTGACCCTTCTTTATTTTAACACAATGGCCATAAAGAACTGATTTACAGATTTACTACAACAGGTGAGATGATTTCTGCTTTAGTCAACAATTTTTTTAGTTAGTTACTTTCACCTTTTTGTTGAAAATCAAACTCATGAACAGGACCACGAACGCTCGGGCTGATCACAGGGAAATGAAAACGTGCTCTTTAAATCCATTGTGTTTTCTCATATCTTAATCTTTTCTCAATCTTAATCTTAATTCATCTTTTCATAAGATCTTAGTCTTCACCATAGTAACTATTTGTGTTGTAGTCAAGACCGCACTAATCGAGACCAAGACCAGTCCAAGACCACAGGGTCCCGAGACCGAGGCAAGACCAAATCAACACCATCTTTGTGATTTTCAACTTTTATTTGTATTTTACACTTATTTTGGCACATTTATATCAATGTTTCTAGAAATCTATCTCCATTTTATCACTTGTCGAGTGTCGAACCTCGAGACCAAGACAAGACCGAATCCAAGCGCCTTCAGGACCGAGAGAAGATCGAGTCCAAATTCCTTCAGGACCGAGACAAGACCGAGTCCAAGAGCGATTGAGTCTGAGATGAGACCAAAACTGCAAAAAAGGCTGGTTTTGAGACCAAGTCCGGTCTCGAGTAATGTGACACTAGTAACTACTGAACATTACCTCACAAACATACAGACAGAACACCCAAAGCGTGATGTCAGTGGAAACTATCGATTACCGTATTTTCCGGGCGATTAGGCGCGGCCTTAACTCTTTCCCCCCTGGACGCCGACTAGGAACAACCCATACATATGTTACTAGGGCTACACCCATAGAGCATCACTGCATAAAAGAAAACAGACTTCCACCAGTGATTATAAATGATTTTTACACTCATGAACTTAATTGTAACACAGACATATTTGTATCTCTGGAAACCTTAGACTCTTAAACATCCATAAATGAAGAGTTCAATGTGATTCAACTCATTTATAGGTGTATAACAGCTCACTGAAAATGAGAGTTTACCTGGTCAGGTGCAAAATCGAAAACAAAAAAACTACATTCAGCATTTGATATCTGCATGTTCTGAAAACTATATTCATAAAAAAATAAAAAATATACTTTGTCAAAGTATTTAAACAGATTTCATATCACCAGATACAGTACAAGTGTGCACCTGTTTGTACCTGTTGTTCACCTGTGTGCACCTAATTCATTTTTTTCCATTTAACTTATTCAACTCATTTAGCTTATTCAACTAATTTAGCTTATTATAATATAATAATATAATAATAAAACTCTTCCCCGTCAGTGTGTGTCCAGTATTTGTCATCTTGGTTGTTTTCTCAGGTGCAGAGCTCCGCATAAGTGTTTTTTCTGTAGTGATTCTGTTACACATCGCATCTTGGAAAAAAAGACTGAAATATTTTAAAGGACTAACCTGGGCAACAACCAGATTTCAGGGCAATTTTGGTTCATAATCGAGTATAAAGCTCAGATAGTTTGTTGGGACATCGCAGGACTCCACACAGACGCATCAGCGACATTCTCACCTTCTCCCCGAAAGTCCGTCGCTGTCACTGTTTTCCACTTTATAATCAACTTCATCATCACTTTGAAATCTATAAAAGTCACTTTCTCTAAACTTATCCATAAAATACGTCCGCTCCTCATTATTTCTAAAACTGTGCGCCGCAGCGCCGCAATCTTTCCATTGCACGTGTTTCGTGTTGTGTTTTTTCCGGAAGCTACCATCGTCACTATTTCGATTAACTTCGGAAAAAATCGGCGAAAACATATCCTTGAATCCTATTGGTCAGTCTAGTGTCGGTTGTAGTGGCCCCCACCGATCACAGTCTCTGTTTAAATGTGAAAAACCGAGCCGTTTCTAAAGGTCGTCAAATCTTGTCTTTAGTGATACGGCGGAGGAGTCAAAAGTCGTCATTAAGGAAACAGGGGGGTCGTCAAATGTCGTCTTCATGGGGGAAAGAGTTAAGCCTCCAAAAACGACTGCGCGCCTTATAATCCTGGAGCGCCTTTTATATGAATTTACGCGAGTGTTCCAGTACAACTTCAGTAAACGACAAAGCCGCACCACTTGCAGCATTACGGCTAACGTAGTCAGGAGCATCGTGGAGAAATACGTACTGTGATTCCTCATTTTTCCTGTGGACGAGGAAAAGATGAGCGACTGGCTGCGAGAAGTTTACCTTAAGAGACCGGATGGCTTTTTCCACACATCTCCATCCCTATTGATCTGCGACTCCAGCAGTAACAGATTGTTGTTCAGACGCAGCCGCGATTCATTTTCAAATAATTTTACCAACAATGGCCAATACAGAGAATGAAACACACGAAGATCAGAGCAAGAACCAGTGTGCGAACATGTGGCTCCAGAGTGAGGCAAAATTGGGGGTGAACGTCTGTTCAGGACCTGCACACACAGAGACGACCCGATGTTCCCCCGTGATCATGTACCAACCAGCATTTGTTATTTTAGGCTTTAATTAACCAAATAATTTTATGGCAATAGCCTATTCAATTGATACAACTTCAAAAAGTCCCTGCTTTTAGCCTAGTGTGAGAAATACAGTCGGACTAGATCCAAACCAGAGTCCTGAACCAGCGGGGGCAGCTCCGGTTCAGGCCGGGCTCAGAGGAGCTGGAGCGGGGAGCCTCGACCTGAGGAAGCGCTTTCCCGGGAAAGAACCAAATGTGCCAAGGACGGACGCTCAGAACAACATATAACAAACCAAACTGGACTCACGCTTCTGTCCGGATGCTGCACCACCTCGGAACCAGCCGCGGTTCTTGAGCGCGGAGGACAGGAGCAGCGCGCCGGACCTGTAGTCCACAGCGCATTCTTGCTTTTCCGCACTGAACCAGTGCGCAGACGACGGAACGTACCCGCTCGGACTCAGTCCATCAAGCACTGGTCTTGCTCGCAACCATCTGGAACCAGCACGTGGAGGACAGAGCCTCCGGACCATCTGACCAACGAACTTGTAGGACGACAGAAGACCAAGGACCAGACCCCAGCCCCGTCCTGAGGAGCTGTTGGCTGCTGCTGTTACCCGAACTCTGGGCTGATGCGGTGAGTTTGAACAAAGTTCTACATGTTGCTGTTTTATGAGTTCATGGTGATAATTTGAGATGAGGACGGCCCGTGGTTTTAACAGGAACATCGGTGTTGATAACTGGAGTATCGCTGTTTTACCGGGAAACAGAGACACGTCAATCGAACCAGTTTTGGTTGGTTTGTCGGTGTGAACGCAGACCACACTGGAGTGTATTTGCTACATAATAACAATTTTATTGCCTGGTGCGACCAAATAATCGAACTAGCGGTGTGAAAACGCCCCAATGTGTTATTTTTAGTTATAACCGAACAATTATGAGTTATTGTGAATACCTGACAATTTATTGGTCTCAGACAGTTTTTTGTTTTTTACATGTTACACATGAACAAAGTTGAGAGTTAACGTAACGAGTAAACGCGTTAAATAAAGTTTGACTGATTTACCTAACTGTTGTGTTTCGTTTAACGCGCCTTATAGTCCAGTGCGGTTTATATGTGAAAAAAGTTCGGGAAAACGACAGTGCGTCTTATAACCCGGAGCACCTAATCACCCGGAAAATACGGTACATTCAGTCTTGAAAAAACCCTTATGTGACCACATCCCTGTGATTCAGCTCTAATAGTCCTCCCAAAACCAGACCCTCCCAAAACCAGACCCTCCCAAAACCAGACCCTCTCAAAACCAGACCCTCCTGCGCGTGTGATTCAGCTCGTTCTCATCTAACCCGAAGCCTCCTGTGTGTGTTTGTGTGTGTTTGTGTGCGTTTGTGTGTGTGTTTGTGTGCGTTTGTGTGTGATTCAGCTCCTCCTCACCGAACCCAGATCCTTGAACATTGACCACCTCCTGACGTTCCCAGGACAGAGGGTTAAACACGGCGTCTGATCTGCCTCCAGAGCTCAGCGCCGTCAGAGCGTTCTGAAGCAGCTTTGAGCCAGATCCTTGGATTTCTAAAGGGGCAAAAAATAAACAGAACTGAAAACTACAGAGATGAAAAGCAGAGTCATATCAGGTTTACTGCTTTCATTTTGGTTTATCTTTGCATTGACTAATATTTAATAACATGTGTATAAAAGACAATTTAGTGCTTTTATTTTGGTAGTCACCAAGTAGGAACACTTTGAATAAAAGTGTGTTTAGATTGACTTCTTCTCTCAAATGTAAAACTCTGTTCCACCTTGTGATGTCATGTAGTCATACAGCACTTCACTGTGTTTTTAAACTCCACACACCTTCACTAGAATCATTTGGGCTGCGTTCAGACTGCAGCCTGAAGTGACCCAAATCAGATTTTTTTTTACCGCCATGTTCCTGTATCTGATCTTTTAATGACAGTCTGAACCACACAGATCTGATTTTTTCAAATGTGACCCAGGACACTTGGATATGTGCTCCTGAAACCGATACATATCTGATCTGAGTTTATTTGGATATTTCATAAATGATAAATTACATTATGTTCCAACAGTAATCAAAAACCATTAGAGCAGGAGAGTCAAACTCAAATTGACAGAGGCCAAAATTAAAAACTGGGACTAAGTCATGGGCCAAACTAAATATTTATTGACAAATTTCAACCACATCTGCATGTTTTCTCTTCTTTTGAGATCTGTAATGTTAAACCTTTTCTTATTAAAATAAATGTTTAATAATAGTTTTGCTTAAACACTGAATCCAGAACAAGCAGAATATAAAATAACAACATAATTTTAAATAAATAATGTCTCTGTAGCTTTTGAACTCCTTTTAAATGTTTTTTTCCCAAGCCAACAACCAGTCAAAAATAACAACTTGCTTCAATGAAAATCAAGTCTTTCAACTATGAACAGTCAAAAATCATAAAGAAAACATTAATCCAAGCTCAGTTTGCTAGTCTGTGATTTATTCTGATGGATATGGGTCCAAAACAGAAACAAATGAAACAAATACTTTGCATCTCTTCTTAAATACAAGTTCATCAAAGTAGTAGTTTCAGTAGTACGTAGTCGTATTAGCAGTGCAGCTCTAATACATATTTGATATGAGCTTGCCGGCCGAATATAATTATATTGTGGTCTGACATGTCTGCATTAAAGCAATAATGTGCTTCTGTCAGATTCTTGTAAAAGAATGTCACATTACTCCAGACACAAAATAAATAACTGCATTTCAGAAAGTTTTAGTCACATTCAAATGACACGTTAACTTAAATTCCTTCTTCTGCACACTCACCTATAATATTTTTTTTTATATCTTCGTTTAAACATTTTCATATTTGGGCTTTTTCTGAGCTTAACACTTCCAGATTTTGACCCCACAAACTGAAATACAAAAATTTTTCCTTGTTGCTCTGGTCATTTTAAAGAGACGCTTCCCCTTAAATTGTAAGTACTTTCCCTTTCTATAAAATGTTTCTGAATAGATTTGGTAGTTCTTTCCTTTTGGCCTTGTACATTATTTCTGTTGTCTGTCTGTGAAGAGTTACTGAGACATTTGTGAATGGAACAAAACACAACTCCAGGTCTGTTTTTGAGGAGGTAACGGCTTTAGAACATGACTTAAAGATCTCAAGAGTCAGTTTTGTGTAATATTGGACCTAACTAGAGTTAGGTTGTATGGAGGATTTTTTTTTGTTTCAAATTGTCAATGATAGATTATAGATGCAGTCGCCTTGTAATTATGATGACCAAAAAAAAGAGAATAAAAATTCATCAACTCTGGACGTGGTGGGGCTAAACATTTGCCAATAGATAACGACACTGCCTCGTTATCTGTGAGCTGACAGGCTGTCAATCAAACTCCCTACGTTTCTAGCGTAACTGACTTGTCTGCGCTGCCGGTACGTGGTTTACGTACGTCTGTCACGCAGTCCACAGACGCACAGACGCTGTTTACTCCACCAACGCAACAGTTCTTAGCGGCTTTTTTTGACCTATATCTTCCTCGCAGTTCGCACAAAGTTTGTTGCAATGACGACAAGAATCCAGGAGCAGTTCGCCGCAAAAGAAAGTCCGTTTTTGAGGTCGCTGAAAGAAGAAGACAAGGGGAAAAGCAGCGAAGCCAAACTAAGGTGATTCTTGGAGATTCATTCCAGCGATGGCGCGACTGAAGCAGACGCAGGGTCTAAAGACTGAACCACTGGTCCACAAATTACTCCTGGACAGGAAACTTCTGCTTATTATGAAAACGTACTTTATTTCCAAGAGTTAGACAAACGTTTTTCAGGACACGAAAGCGATATCCTATGTCTGAAAACGTCATTTTCAAGGCAAAGAAAGAGTCCGCTTGCTGCTGCGTGTTGTAGCTAATTCATTCGCACGGAATCTCCGCGCAACCTTTCTCTGCACTCCCTTTCCTGCTCCTCTCCCGTCTGCGCACGAATCCGCTCCCCCGCTCCTCACTTCTCCGTCTTGCCTAACCAACACTGTAGTTGTTTACAAGTCATGTGCAGCACACCGGCTGTAAACAAACCTGTTTCTGGCGTAAAGAGGAGGAGGGAGGAGGCGTTTCTACGTAGGAGCTGTAGGGGAGGTGGTTTCACGCATGCGCAACATTTGAAAAAGGACAAACAGTCGCTGGATTTCTCGTTCCTTGGAAAATCCTCTATACAACCTTTAAGCGAGTTCTGTACCTTCATAATATCTTAGTGCGTCCTCCACCACCAGCTCGATGCAGCTCCCAGGGATCACGTCATGAAACTGGTTCAGAAGCAACAACCTACAGAAAAAAAAAATATTTCTCAGTTTTTTCCTGGCTCTAGGTGTTTTTTTTGTTTCTCTGTGTGTGCACCTCCACAGCTCCTTCAGCCTCTTCTCCGGATACTTGAAGCTCTGGTCTCGGCTCAGGGCCAAACAGCTGCACACCTCCACATCGTGCAGCAGAGTCTCGCACTGACGGTTTCCACGTTTTATCTGCAAAACGACAAACATATATCACGTAAAACTGACTCTCGTGAGCTTTAAGTCGTGTTCTAATGCTGGACCTCGTACCTGGGCCTGTGTGGTGTAGGTGCCGTTGTGCAGTTCCAGAAACAGTTCTCCGCTCCAGGTGCAGAGGAGCTCGGAGTCTGACCGCAGCTCGGAGAAGAGGGAGTCGGGAGAGGACAGACGAACCCTGAACATGGAAAATAATTTGTAATAATTTATTCTGAATGTCAGTTAATGAAATTTTAAGTAAGTGAGTCTGAAAAATAACCTTAAACTTTCAGCACAAATACTTTCGAGCCTTCAAATTCAACAGTCAAAATTCAGAGTGTAAGGCAGAAGCAACCGATCCAAAGTGATCCGATCTAACTTAGTAACAAAGAGGAAATGGACCAAATCCTCCTTTGGTCCATTTGAATTTTAAAGGTTGTATAGAGGATTTTTTTTAAGGGAAGAGAAACACAGCGACAGTCCTTTTTCAAATGTTGTGCATGTGTGACACCACCTTCCTCCTCCACAGCCTCAGTAGAAACACCTCCTCCCGCCTCTTTACTCTAGAAATCACGCTTGTTTACAGCCGTGCGTGTTCAGAATTACCGTTGAAGTGACCTGTCTAGAAATAATTTAGCGACTGACATGTCAGTTTTTAGACCCTTCGTCTGCTTCAGTCGCGCCATCGCTGGAAGAAATCTCCAAGAATCACCTCAGTTTGTCTTCGCTCCTTTTCTCCTTCTCTTCTTCTTTCAGCGACTTCAAAAATTAACCTTTTTTTTGCGGCGAACTGGTCGTGGATTCTCGTCCGCCATCGCAACAAACTTTGTGCGAAATGCGAGGAAGCTACAGTTTGAAAAAGCCTCTAAGAACCGCCGCAAAACCACGTAATCCCCACACGCCGACGAGTGAGTTACACTCGAAACGTAGGGAGTTTGATTGACAACCTGACAGCCAATAGAAAATGAGGCAGCCTCGTTTTCTATTGGCTGATGTTTATCTGGCCTCACTACGTCCACAGTTGATAGATTTTCATTCTTTTTTTTTTTTTTTTTGGTCATCATAATTACAAAGCTGCTGCGTCTCTGTAATGGTATTTTAAACTTTTATTGACAATTTGAAACAAAAAAAAATCCTCCATACAACTTTAAATGCGCTTAATTTTCACTTAATCTGACAAATTTGAAACATTAAAAAAATTGTTTTCAAACAATACTTGAAACCATTTTTAAAATCCTAAATCTAAAACAACCTTTAAAATGCAACAAACGCGAAATTACATTTCTCACTTAACTCTGAAAAAACACGTTTGCATTATTTTTATTCTGAATGTCGGTTAATGAAATTTTAAGGATACATTTTCAAAGTGTTTAAAATTAATTATAAAGAAAAATAAGCTTAAACTTTCAGCCATCAAATTCAACACATGCCAAGGCAGAAGCAACCGATCCAAAGTGATCCGATCTAACTTAGTAACAAACGGGAAATGGTGCAGTGAAGCGATCTGATTGGTCGCTTGGCAAAGGACAATTTCAATTTGTCAACTGGACAAACATTTATTTACTGTATTTTCCGGGCTATTAGGCGCTCTGGATTATAAGACTCGCTGGCATTAAATTGTCTATTTTCGAACTTTTTCACAAATAAACCGCGTGGGACTTTAAAGGAAACCCAACAGTGTGATGGGTGAGTGGTTTTGTTTGTTTGTTCGTTCACGGTGACTCTGGGCTTTGTTCAGTTGTGGCGTGTAGGGAGGGTGTGTCTGGGACCAACAGATTGTCGGTGTGTTCTAGGGCTGGGTATCATTAAGAAGTTACCGATACGATACATATCTCAATACATGGGCCACGATACGATACGCTTTCCGATACAGTGAGCTTTTGATTCAATACGATTCAATACAATATATTTCACATCGATTCGATATGGTTCATTGTAAAAAAGGCTAAAAGTTGGCTCTGATACTAAAAGTCCACTAAGTTTGTGAAAAGTGAATGTGAAAAACATCCATTTTACTCAAAACAGTGAAAATGTCAACACAACTGTAGCTCTTACACAAACTAATTTAGTAAAAATATACCTAAAATACTCCTGACGATATATCGATACAGCAGCCCACGATATCGATACTGTATCAGCACATTAAACGATACGATATATCGATATTTTGATATTTTTGCACACCCCTAGTGTGTTCGCAGTGACTCGGTTGTTCAGTTGTGTTTAGAAGTGGCACATTGCACTCGCTTTTTTGGTTCGTTCCTCCGTTCCGTTCCTCGTCGGCGTGGAGTGATGAGTGTGTCTGTGGGTGTGTTTCTCTGTGCGGTCGCTGTCTGCTCCGTGTGTTTGTGTGTCTGCGGGTGGTGCGGCTTTGTAGTTTACTGAAGTCGTACTGGGACACCTGAGTGGATTCGTGTGTGGGGCGCTCTGGATTGCGGGGCACGGTCGTTTTTTGATGTGGTTAGAGGCTTAAGAGCGCGACTAATCGCCCGGAAAATACGGTAGTTCGAAAACTGCAGTTGAAGTCTGAAGGGAGGAGCTAACTACACTGAAACTACTCTGGAACTAACACACACACTTGTTTACAGTTAATGTTCATAACGTGGTCTATTGAACTTGTGTGGGGTCATATTAGAATCATTCAGGCTTTTAATGAGTCCTCTGGGCCTGACTACCGCTGTTGTTCTTTGTTTTAGGTTTGAGGATGGACTTGTCGATGGGAGACAGATGGTGTCTCAGTCCTCCATTTCTGATCAAGAAAGGAAAAAATAGCTTCTTTAACTCTCCTCTCAAACCAATTATTTTCTCTGGCTCAGATCTGTTCCTCACTGTCCTCAAAAGGAGCGGCCCGCGGCATTTAGGTGGAGATGTACAACAGACCGAGGTCCTTTTGAGGTCCGTGTGAGTGGTGTGGTCCTCTGTGTCTTTATTAATTTATTTATTTTTAATGTATTTTATTGACTTTATTTATTTATTGCTATTCTGTAATTTTGCTCTTATTTATTTTACTGGTTTTATTATTTTAAGACTAGTATGATTAAATCTGAGCATTTATTTTATAATTTTATTATTGCTGTTATAATGTATTTGTGCAGCACTTTAGAAACAGTTTGTTTGTGAAATGTGCTATAGAAATAAAGTGGATTGGATTTTAGGTCAGGGGTCATCAAACTAAGGCCCGTGGGCTGATTCTGGCCCCCCAGCCCCTCTGCCCCTCCACTTGAATTGACCCTATGAGACAATCCTCAAAAGTGTCATGGCTTTTTTTTAAATTATTATTATTACTTTTTGGCAAATAATAACACATTTACATCTTGTATTTTGTAGATTTTTTTCAATTAAAAAATAATATATCACGGTACGATATTTATATATTGATATTAGGTTATTAGGATTACATATATTTACATTTACTGTTGAATTTTTGTCAACCAATGAACACAAAGTCAAAATAGCAAACAGTGAACAATAAAGCAACTGTAATTCACACAAGCAGACGTTCGGTTATCGTAGTTGTACAGTTGGAGGTATCAGGACTAATGATCAGGTCATACTATTCTGTCATACGGCCGACCCGAACCCCAGTCCCCATCGCAGTCAGGAGCGATAATGTGGCCCGCAGAGAAAAAAGTTTGGCGACCCCTGTTTTCGGTGGAGCTTTACAGCAGACTGAGGTCCTGTGTTGCTCTCTCATCTGTGTTGGTACTAGGGATGGGCATTCGACGAAATTTTCTTAATCGATCGTCGGAAGAATGAACAATTAATCATTAACGTTTTTATATTAAAATGATCACCATTATTATTACTATCTGCACTAATCTGCTTAAATAAATTCAACTTTACGACATATAAACCGTAATCACTCTAGAGCCACATCAGCTGTTTGACATTATCATGTGTTTAATTCAGTTTTGTTCAAATCTCACAGAAACAAAACTTAAAACTGCATCGCTAATTTGCATAAACTAAGTGAAGATAAAACTCCAGCTCTTGTGTCGCTGATGTGGTTCAATTTCTGTCGGATTAAAAGACATGACTCAGGTGAATACAGGTCAGTGTGACCAGATTTGCGTTTGTCAAAACCAGGACAGCGTACGGGGGGAGGGGGGCGGGGCCTCGTCATCCACATTGAGCGACTCTCACCTGGCAAAACTTTTTCCCACTGGACACAGAAACATATGTGCTGCTTTATACACTGTGCACATGGACTCACACTTGTCCCGAACGGAAAGCGTGGAATTTCTTGTACAAATCATCGTTAAATCCACATTTGTGCTTCGGTACGTTGCAGACTGACCCACTGTTTGTGTCTCGCTCCTTCTGAATGCAGAGCGCTACATGTACGGACCCCCGTTTGGTCGCCCTACACTACGCACAGCAACCTACATTCGGTTTGTCGATTAAAATTAACGTAATCGATGAAATTCTTAATGATCAATTATCGATTAATCAACTAATCATGCCCATCCCTAGTTGGTACATCCTCTTGTGAAGTGGCTGTTTTGTTTCTCCAGTGTGGCGCTCACTGCAGTCTTCACCACACTGAACGGAGTAAACTACATTGTTTTGTCTGTGGCTCGGTGTTTTGTCTTCAAGTGTTCGTAGGTTTGAAAATCCTCTAGTTTTTTCAGAAACACAGGCCAGGAAAGGACAAGTTACACCCTTTCTACTTCAGTGCCTACATGAAAACCTTATCTCTTTTATTTGTTAAGTGTAAACCCCGCCACAGATGAGAACAGCCAAAAGGAAACAGCCTCTGTCCTCCACACTCACACACAATCGACGCTTCTGCCTCGGCGTCTTGGATCTTTAATGTGAAATTTTACGCTCTGAATTTTGACTGTTGAATTTGAAGACTCGAAACTATCTGTGCTCAATATTTAAAAAGGTGAAATTTATTTTGAATGGGAAAGCGTGTTGAAAAATTCAGAATAAAAATAACTCAAACATCTTTTTTTCACAGTTAGAAAATCCAGAGCAAGAAATTCAACATCTGGAGCAAATGATCTTCCATACCAAACCCAAACAGTCAGACACAGACTCATATCCTCACATCGTCACGTCAGGTCAGAGTTCAACATCCTCCCAGTGTCGACGTGCAGACATTGTCCACAGACCCCCCCTCTGAGACCAAATAAGGGTCCAAAGTGACGCTGTAAATCTACTGACTCAGAGTGACATCAAATATTAGTATTGTTGGGTTTGAGCTGAGTCAGGTTCATCCTCCTGGAGCGTCCTTTTGGAGATGGGAAAATGAAAATACTCAATACTTACACAGGCTCTGCTTTCAATATTAGTTTAAGTACAAAAAATAAGTATAAATACCACCAGGAAAGCAGATATTAATGAATTGTTATTAAAGAGTTATTATTGATAATATATTTTAAACCTGTGTGTATCTGTAATGTGTTTTTTTTTTCCATCTAAATTTATCTAATGTCAAATGTCTAAAGCAGAGGTGTCAAACTCAAATTTTAGATTAAAAATTTAAAACTGGGACTAAGTCATGGGGCAAACTAAATATTTACTGACAAATTTTCAACACCATTTGCATGTTTTCTCTTCTTTCGAGATCTGTAATGTTAAACATTTTCTTATTAAAATAAATGTTTAATAATAGTTTTGCTTAAACACTGAATCCAGAACAAACAGAATATAAAATAATAACAACATTTTAAATAAATCATGTGTCTATAGTCGATCTGTGTGCAGTGGGCAGCTCTAATACAGATTTGATATGATCTTGTGGGTCAAATATATTTATATTGCGGGCCAAATTTGGCCCCCGGGCCTGAGTTTGACATGTCTGGTCTAAAGATACACTTGTACTTAACTATATAATGAATGTAGATGAAATATTGTAAATTGTAGAGTTGGATTAAAATAAAATATGCTTCTTCCTACTTGTTTCTTGAACATTGAATGTTTTTTAACAATTTTGTTTTTCTTTATTAAATGTCATGAGTATGAAGACTATATGTTGTGTCTTCATACCTTTAAAAAAAAAAAAAGTTCAAATACATTAACTCTAACTCTAATAATAGATTTGTGGTGGTTGGTAATGATAAAACTGTGAAATGAGTGTGAAATTAAGGAAAACTGATGAGTCAGTATAGTCACATTTTCTTTGTGTTTTGGTCGTTTTTAAGCAGCTTTTCTGTATTTTACCAAAACAAATGACAGTTTATGTCTCTCTTTACTGTCGGCTTGGATCAGATTGGTCCAAAATAGTGACACCTGGGACATTTCTTGTATAAAACTGGGTCAAATCAGTGGTTTTGTATAAATCTGCTGGGACAAGGGACACATAATCAAAACTGGGACTGTCCCAGGTCAACAGGGACGTCTGGACACCTTAGTATTATGGCCGAGTCTCATTTCTCTTTCCTCACTTCCTTCTCCTTGATTCCTCGATTCTCCATTTTTCCGCTGTCAATCAAATGTTACGTGGTTGGCCCAAAGAAAACCACGGACTGACCATTTGATTGACAGCTGGAAAACGGAGTATCGAGGAAAAGGAAGCGATGGAAAGTGAAATGAGGCGCGGACGGGGTGTAACCTGCCGTCCTTCCTCGCTGACAGACAGGGGGCAGTGTTATTCCCAGCGGCGCTCCAGATGCACTGACCTGGGAAGTCCATCTGTGTCCTGGACGCGCTGCAGCCGGTCCAACATGAGCTGCGTGGGACCGCCGCCGCCGTCGCCAAACCCGAACAACGCCGCGCTGTGATTGGCCCGTCCTTTATCTTTGTTGTTCCTCACGGTTTTGATGAGCTGAGCAGAAAAAGGGAAAATAATATAAGTAATGATAATTGTGATAGTATTTTTTGATATCGTGACATCTCTGCTCCAAATCACCAACACAAAACTCACGTCTTCCACTTTTCCTTTCATTTCGTAGGAGTTTCCAGGCGGGAAATGAGTGAGGACTTTAGAGCCGTCCAGACCTTCCCAGAAAAATGTGTTGTGCTTCGAAACAAAAGAAACACAAATGTAATACAATTTTAATCAAGCGTCACAGCATTAGTGAGTTATTATTAGTGCCACTTTAAACAAACTTGAGAGGTCGTGACTCACAGGAAACGTATTGACCAGGTTCCAACTCAGCTTCTGCGTGAGGAAGTTAGAAATGCCGCTGCCCTGCATGATCTGAGGGAGCTGGGCCGAGTAACCGAACGTGTCCGGGAGCCAGAACTACGGAAAAAGGCCGGAGGTGTGATCAGAGGGAGCGTGAGAGGGAGTGTCAGAGGAAAGAGCTAATGAGCGTTTTGGGGATTAAACAGCTGAGGTCTGTGGAAAGCGAAATCAGGTGTGATGAGCAGGAGGGTTTTCCCTGAAGTGAGCAAAAGTGAAAGCCTGTCTTATTTGTGCAATCCAGGCTTATCAAAGCCTCAGTTTCACCAAAGTGACTGACCAGACGTGATCTGAGTTTTTATCTTAGCTCTGTCTCCAAGAATGTCTAAAGAAAACGTTTAGTCAAAAGTTTCAGACAGTGTAGTCACTCACACACCTGTGTCAGAACACACCTGTCTCTGTCTGATACAGATGAAAATGTGACTTTTATAGTCGCATGTTGCTTGAGACTTTCAGTCCATACACTCTGCACACAGGACACACGTGTGGACGCTGCACTCAACACAGAGACACAAACCATATAAAAGCCTGTGGCCATTATTTCATTAAATGATGCTGCACATGTGTCTGTTGTTGTGTCTGTTGTGAGGGGTTAGGGTCAGGGGTCAGGGTGTCTGTTATGAGGGACAGAGCAGCTTTTCCACACAAACAGACGCTGGTTTGGACTCTGAGGATGACTCTGGGTTCTGTCTGTTCCTCCTGTGTCTCTCTTCATTCCCTCGTCTCTTGCTGCCTTTCAAACTGCAAACACCTTTGTGCAGATTTGATCATTTCTTGTTACATACATGTGAAGAGTTCTGTCACCGCTTCACTTTCACATACAGTGTAACTTAAGCTCTGCACACACTAAAAAAACATCACATTTTTGGCCCATTTTCTGTGATGCCATTGCTCTGTCCTTCTCAGAGTCACTGGGAGCACAAAACTCACCTTAAACTTCAGGCCTGAATTCACTTTGGTCAGACTCAATTTTGTTGCTGTCATAGAAACAAAAAATGGAGCTTCATTCAGCTCAGGATTTCAGGATAAGCCTGGATTTATTAAGCCAATTTGGTGGACGACGACGACTACTACAACTACTACGACTACTACGACTACTACAACTACTACAACTACTACGACTACTACGACTACTACGACTACTACGACTACTACGACTACTACGACTACTACTACGACTACTACGACTACTACGACGACTACGACGACTACTACGACTACTACGACTACTACGACTACTACGACTACTACAACGACTACAACGACTACTACGACTACTACGACTACTACGACTACTACGACTACAACGACTACAACGACTACTACGACTACTACGACTACTACTACGACTACTACGACTACTACGACGACTACAACGACTACTACGACTACTACGACTACTACGACTAACGACTACTACGACTACAACGACTACAACGACTACAACGACTACAACGACTACTACGACTACTACGACTACTACGACTAGGGCTGAGTATCATTAAGAAGTTGCCGATACGATACATATCTTGATACAGTGCACTTTCGATTTGTTATGATATATTTCAAATCGATTCAATACGGTTCAATAAAAAATAAAGTCTAAATCGTGGCTGTGATACTAAAAGTCTTTGCTAAACCACTTTTTCTTGTGCAAAGTTCATATGAAACACAAACATTTTAATCATCAAAACAGTGAAAATGTCAAATGTGTCGCATAAATGAGTTTCCTTCCACTCCTCAAGCCACAAAACTGTAGCTCTGTAACAAAATAATTTAGTAAAACACACGTAAAAATACTCTTGGTGAAATATCGATACAGTAGCCCACGATATCGATACTGTATCATCACATTAAACGATACGATATATCGATATTCTGATATTTTTGCACACCCCTAACTACGACTACTACTAAGAAAAAGAAAAAGAAGAAGAAGAAGATTTTAAGAGCAAACTGAGGAGTCTGAAAGCAGCAGTTACAGCGAGAGGCGACATTTTTTCAATACAAAGTGAACTGGAGCCAGAGTTGATGGAGCTAAACATTTTATGCACTGATAAGCAAAGTATATTTCAATTGACAGGAAACATTTTACAAACCTCTTTGCAGTAAATCCCAAACTCCTGGTTAAAGAAGCGTTGTCCTTCTAAAAACTGTCGCACCATGGACTCTCCTGAAGGCAGGTTACCGTCCTGAGAAACACAAGCTCCATTATCACAAACTGTAAAACACAAACTATATCCGTACGTATGTTTCAAGGCAAGGCAAGTTTATTTGTACAGCACAGTTCGTACACAAAGTAATTCAAAGTGCTTTACAGAATAAGATAATAAAAACAAATCAAAAATAAATAATAAAGATTAAAAAAAAAAGAGAGACATAAATTGGAGAGAAGAGTGCGGAATGAAAACCTTTCAGTTATTTGCACAGTTAAACAGAAATGTTTAGAGCCTGGATTTAAACAGCGTCACAGAAGAGTCTGTCTCACATGTTCAGACTGTTCCAGGTTTTAGCTGCATGAACCTGAAACTCTGACTCCCCTTGTTTAGTCGTGACTCTGGGCACCAGCAGGAGTTGGTCCCTGAGGTCCTCAGAGTGTGAGATGTTCATATGACACTAACATGTCACAGATGGACTTTGGTGCTCGGCCATGGAGACACTTGTACAAGCAGAGCTGCTTTAAAGTCTCTGAGCCACAGGAGCCAGTGCAGAGACCTGAGACCAGGACTTATGCGCTCGTACTTCCTAGTTCGAGTCAGGACCCGAGCTGCAGCGTTCTGGATGTTGTGGATGTTGTGGATGATGTTCTGGATGTTCTGGATGTTCTGGATGTTCTGCAGCGTCTCACAGCTCGTTTGGAGAGACCAGTGAGCACAACATTACAGTATCTAACCTACTGGAGACAAACGCATGGATAAGTTTCTCCAAGTCTGATTTAGACAGTAAACCTTTGATTTTTGCTCTGTTTTTTAGATGGTAAAAGGCTGCAGATGTTATTGATTTGATGTGGCTGTTAAAGTTCAAGTCTGAGTCCATTATTACCCCGAGATTTCTTGCCTGATTTGAAGGTTTTAGAGAGAGAGACTGGAGGTGATGCTGACACTGTCCCTTTGTTTCTGTGGACCAAACACTATGACTTCAGTCTTGTCAGAGTTTAGCTGGAGAAAGTTGTTTTGCATCCACACACTGATCTGTTGGATGCAGTGACAAAGTGAGTCCACTGGTCCATAGTCTCCTGCTGCCAGAGAGACGTAGATCTGAGTGTCGTCTGCATAACTGTGGTAGGACACGTTATTGCTGCTTATTAACTGGCGTAATGGCAGCATGTAGAGATTGAACAACATGTTTCACACTGCTTACCGGCGCCATTTTGAGGACTTTAGACAAACAACAAACAGCATCAAATGTACAAACGTTACCATCTCCACCCAGGTTCCTCCCACAGGTATAAACTGTCCCTTCTTCACAAAATGTTGGATTTCTGCGTAGAGGCCGGGGTACCAGCTCTTCACCCACTCGAACTGCTGAGCCTGGACACGAGACGATGAAGATATGATCCCGAAGAAACACGTTTAGACTCACGATTTCAAACATGTTTTTAAATGTTTAACCTGAGAACAAGTGAAGATAAACTCTGGGTTTTTCTCCATCAGGCGGATCACGGTCACCCAGCTCCGCCCACACTTCCGAATGGTCTCTTCGTACGGCCAGAGCCAAGCTGCAAACGTAAAAAAAAAAAAAAAAAAAAAAATCAACCAATTAAAAATAAAGAAATAAAATAAAATAAACAAAAATAAAAAATAAAACAATAAAAAAAACAAAATTATATGAGGTGTAACTGTTGAGCTTTAACGTTACCAAATTAAAGATGGACTGCGTAACATTTCTAGTCCTGCTCGTCTCCATGGAAACGTTATTGCTTTATTGTCTAGAACATTCCACAGTATAGATTAAACCTCTTTATCATGCTACATTACAGATCAGATCTGTGGAGAGGCGTCCCTGTTCACAGAAGGAACTATTATACTTTTGAGCAACAGAAACACGTGGAATAAATAAATGCTAGATCGATATGTTTAAAGTCACACCATGGAACATTTCTCCATGGGGACAAGTAGGCAGCGGATCCTCTATCAGAAAAGTTGCGCAATGCAGCTTTAACTAAACAATATTTGGTAACACTTTATAATAACTACACCTTATTTAGCCTTAATAAAGCATGAACAAAGGCTTAATTAATAATGAACAAAGACTTAAGTATTAATAAGATTCATCATTAGTAACTACTTAATTACTACCTTAATTAGCACTTGCACTTAATTTGCTTGTGCTGTAAATAGTTACTCATAATTATTTCATACTTAATTACTCATGAACTAACCATTTGAGCATTTATTAATCATTAGTAAATAAATGAGAGAATGATTTACTAATAATGCAAAGCAATGATAATTCAGGCAGCTGTTATCTGTTAGTTAAGTCTTTTTGAGAGCTTTTCTAAAGTGAAGACAAATTATCCTTTATTAAGCATTTACTAAGCGTGAATCATTATTAATTAAGTCTTTGTTCATTATTAATTAAGTCTTTGTTCATGCTTTATTAAGGTTAAGTAAGGTGTAGTTATTATAAAGTGTTACCCAATATTTGATTACGGGAGTGTTTTTTGTCCATGTTGCACAGGTAAATTGTGTTGGGTTTTTGTCGCCCTCTATTGGTAATGAAGAATATTATGCTTAAAAAAATGAGAACAGGTCCAGCTCAGTGACGCTGTATGAAAAATGCACTTTAATACACTTTAAAAAATGTAAATATTGAGTATTCCACCTGTATTTACTCAAAAGTGACACAAACTTGCACAAAATTACACAAACTTGCAGTGTAATCCTTCCAAAAAAAGACTCATTTATTATTTTTCACACTCAGTAATGTAGTTGAATCTGTTTTATTTCATTGTTGTTTTTATATCGTGTTGATTTGAATCTGAAGCACTTTGGTCGCCTTGAGTGTTATAAAGGGCTCTGTAAATAAAGTTTGATGGAGAGTGGACTGTAATATTTGTTTATTTCCTTTTTTCAAGCAAATCACTGAGTCAAACTTTATTTCTAGAGCCCTTCACAACACTCAAGGCGACCAAAGTGCTTCACATTCAGATCGACACAATATAAAAACATTAAACAATGAAATAAAATAGATTCCACTACATTACGGAGAGTAAAAAATAATAAATTAGTCTTTTTTGAGAGGATTACGCTGCAAATTTGTGTAATTTTGTGCAAGTTTGTGTAATTTCTGAGTATAAACAGTAGTGTGGTGCATCGAATTACAGTAAAAAATAAAGTTTCAGATCATCTTGATTAGAACCCTGCATTAGGTCCAAAAGATCCAAAAGATGATTTAGGAAGAAATTTTGAAGAAAAAGGAGATGTTTTAGAGATTGCATGAGATTTCCTGAAAATTGACTAATTTTGAGTTTTTAAATTAATAACTCCACTACAAAAGTAAATACCAGGGAAAGTACCGTATTTTTCGGGCTATTAGAACGCGCTCTTAAGCCTCTAACAGCGTCAAAAAACGACTGCATGCCCCACAATCCACTTGGGTGTCCCAGCACGACTTCAGAACACACACACAAACACACACGGAGCAGACAGCGACCGCACAGCGAAACACACCCACAGACACACTCATCACTCCACGCCGACGAGGAACAGAACGGACGAACTGTGGGAAATATTATGTGTTGGTCATGCTAATTCACCTAATATTATGGACTTTGGAATGACAACAGGGTGGAAAACACGTATGACTATCTATAGGTCTATATAACATGTTTTTTCTGTACTTTGAGTGCCATAAAGAACATGTTTTTCTGGACTTTGAGAGCCACGAAGCAGAAAAACTGACATATGTGGACCCCGTGGCATGTTCCCACCCATGATAAGGTGCACTGGGTCAGCAGTATTGTTCATTTTCTTGCTGTATATGCTAAATCAACAAGTTAATGTTTTGTCAAGATGTAGTATAAAGCTACCCCTGATTTTGAGTTGGTCAGAGGCGTCGTTCCGGGGTGGCAGTTGTACTTGGTAATCAACTTGAATCCCTCTCAATGGAAAATGCTGAAATAAAGTGGCCTGTTCTCTCGGATTCTCCATCTCCTGTGCTTCTTTTTAGGACACGCATTGAACCTTCCGAAAAAACCCACAAGTGGTGACCCCGACGGATGATTTGACAGAGTAATGTCTGCAAACGATGCCTCCCACGAAATCCTGGAAGTAAAGACACGAAGAACGCGTTCCCAAAAGAAGGTATGACAGCGACCTTTGTTGTTTCAGAATTCCTGTCAGATTGGCTAAATGTATAAAAACTAGAAATTGTGATTTACTTCTTGGGACTTTTGTGTGATCAATTTAAAAAGTAATGGAAAACTAATTATTAAATGTTATGCTTCATGGAAAAGAAAAAAGCAAAAGCTCGAATCCGTGTTAAAAGGCTTCACGTAGAAAATAAGCCAGAAGTATGTTAATTGAGATTGAAAACAAAACCAATAGTATGTTTAGGCTTTAATCACATAAAGCGTAATTAAGAAAGTTATTGATTCCTTGAGATACCGTGTTAACCGTCACGAGAGACAAGAAAGGAATTTTATAAGGAAATTAATTTTTATTTTGCTGCTTTTTAGGACACGCATTGAACCTTCCGAAAAAACCCACAGAACGAACCGAAAAAGCGAGTGCAACGTGCCGCTTCTAGACACGACTGAACAACTGAGTCACTGCGAACACGCCGACAATCCAGACACACCCTCCCTACACGCCACAACTGAACAAAGCCCAGAGTCACCGTGAACGAACAAACAAACAAAACCACTCACCCATCACACTGTTGGGTTTCATTTAAAGTACCACGCGGTTTATTTGTGAAAAAACTTTAAAAAATAGACCATTTAATGACAGTGCGTCTTATAATCCAGAGCGACTAATAGTGCGAAAAATGCGGTAACATTAGATTCTTTAAGAAGAAGCTTAAAGACCAACTGCTTCCATCTAGACTGCGTTGCCTTGCATGTTCCACAGCACGGCATTAAATCTACGAGCAGGTGACACTGGCCGAGTTATTGGTCAAATCTGTGGAGGGGCGACATCCGCTTGCAGAAAAACGAATTTGTTTCTTAGTTAATTAGTTAATTCAAGACGGAGAAGTTAATGCCAAACTGTGGAACATCTAACTGAGACAAATTTGCTCTTTTAAACTCACAGCTCCTGTTTTTTTTATTTTTCAGGGAGAATGTTCTGTCTCGTCTGTCTGACCACGCCTTCGACCGACCCAAGTTCGAAAATAGACCATTTAATGACGCATAATCCAGAGCGCCTAATAGTGCGGAAAATACGTTACTTAAAAAGTCCTGATAGGAGCTTGAGTCATTTTGGGAAAGCTGCTGCTCCTACTGTGTTTGTTACTTGAGTTCGCACATGCTCAGTACAGCTCCAGTTTGAGAAATCAGGATCCTGCGTCTACAGGCCACAGTGTCCTGGATACTCTGAGAAAAACCCAGTGAGAGTCTCTTGGTTTCTCATCACCGGGACACTGGCAGATCCAAGAGACTGAAATCAGGAGACTCCGTTTACACGAACACTCACAAAACCAGGAGACTAAAAAAAACCTGATCATAACCGGGACGTTTGAGCGCATGTAAACGCACTCGGTGATAAACAGTATGCCTGAATGATTCTGCTAATGTGACTCAGGCACAGTTCCCACTTTGTGCAGTTCAATCGACTGAGCTACAAACAGAAACTGTAAACAAATATGTGTGTTAGTTTCAGAGTAGTTTCAGTGTAGTTAGCTCCTCCCTTCAGACAGATATAAATGTCTTCACTCTTAAATAGGGTGACCTATTTCCATTTGTGAAAACCCGGACACCTTGGGGGGGAGGGGGGTCTCACAGTTTCTCAGATTTTTTTGTGTGCAATTTTGCAATTTTTTACAGCATAAGAACGTGTATTGTGTATTACAGGCGGGGAGTAATTACACACGGGTGGGTCAGGACTAAACCAGGTCTAAACCAGGACTAATCTTGGACTTAAAGCGCGATCGGGCAATTGCCGCGTTTAACTCCGTGAGGTGTAGAGCTGAGTCGGTCCTTTCACCTGCGTCACCTCCGAGCCCGTCCTGACAGTGAGTCCTGTTTCAGTTCTGGTTTAGTCCTGGTTTAGTCCTGGTTTAGTCATGGATTAGTCCTCCTCTTCAGTCCTGGAATCAGTCCTGGGTTAGTCCTGGTTTAGTCTTGGTTCAGTCCGTGGCGAAGGCAGCACAAAAGTTTGATATAATCTCGGGTTATCGGGCAGGTGCGGTCCTGTCCTGCGCAGGTGCGGTGTTGTACTGGGGGTCTCCAAAAATGGACCCGTGCAGGACTCTGCGCTGTTGGGCTCCATTATGGAATAAATGAATCTTCAGTTCATTACATAAAGAAGGAGGAAAATAACAAAAGGACGACAACAGCAATAAGTTTTAAGAAGGAAGTAAAAAGTGTTGCACCTGTCGTGTCTGAGAAAAGTGTATAAGGTTTGTGCTGACGGGTTTTACAGCCTTAACACAGATAGAATAATTGTAAAATATAAAGTTGATACTTCGTGGATTTCACCTGTCGTGGGTTATTTTTAAAACATAACCTCAACCTGTGCACATGGACTCACACTTGTCCCGACCGGGACGGAAAACTGAGAATTTCTTGTACAAGTCACTGAGAGACGCTCAGTTTAACGCCCCCAATGAACGGTACTGAAAACCCGGACATTTGCATCACTTTATTAAAAAAAACCTGGACGGACATGTCCGGGGAAAAACGGACGTTTGGTCACCCTACTCTTAAACGTTTGTCCAGTGAAAGCGACTGAATTTTCCTTTTACTATAGATCAGACCTGGACGACTGAGGGATAACACAGGCACGATTAAAGCTCAAAATAAACAGCTGGATTCTCATGGTGTGGGAGAGGAGCAGCACCTGAGTCGATGTGGCAGTGCCCCATGGCGTGCACGGTGTGTTGGCTCTGCCCGTTGCGCTGGGTGAAGAAGGCAGAGGCCAGGCTCCGAGCTCGGGGGAAGGTGCCGGGGTCCGAGGGCTCGCACAGGTTCACCATCTCGTTCACCGTGAACAGGGCCTGGAAACCGCGCTGGTCCTGCTCCCCCAGCTCCTGCAGACAACACCAGAGCGAGTTAAATCTGGACAGAACACAGAGAATGTAATCAAACTAAAGAAGATCTATGCTTGTGTCTGCTCTAGAGTTTTAATGTATGACTGGAGATCATTTTTTAAAATAATTTAGACATTTTAAATCACAATATTGATCTAAAACAACTTAAAGAGTGATTAAACACTCTCCTGAAGCTTTACTCCACTCCTAAGCAAAATCTGAAAAATCCTCCAGAGGTGTGGGACCGGTGTAGTCCGGCCGGCGCCACCTAGTGTCTCCACTCAGTTTTATTTCTCTCCAGCGAGTAGATCAGGAATTGGAATACACTTGATGCGAGTTTGGGCACCAGCCAATCAATGAAGAGACAGACATTCTTTGTTGGCAACGATTCCAGAGATCGAGGATTTAAAGCAGAAACAAATAGAATGTTTCAAGGGGAAAGACGTTATTGTTCTTCTTCCTACGGGATTTCGGAAAAACTTAATATAACAGGTTAGTAATGCGCCACTAACTGGGCTAACTGATTCATCAGCCGGTTTTACTTCATTTCACTTCATAGAAACAGTCTGACCTCGCAGCCTTAGATTTCATTCGCTCAACAGTAGGTGGGTACTTTTTTTATTTAACCAGTCGCTGCTGTTTGGTTGTGACGTATGTAATGCGCCGCCAACGGGGATAACAGGTATATTCATCTTTTCCCAAATCCTGTAGGAAGAAGAACAATAACGTCTTTCACCTTGATAAAATTCACCAAACATTCTCTTTGTTTCGGCTTTAAATCCTCGATCTCGGGAATCGTTGACAACACAGAATGTCTGTCTCTTCTCTGATTGGCTGGTGCTCGAACTCACACTTCCGGGTTTCTTGCAAACCGTCTAGTGTGTTTTGATTCCTGACCTAGTCACTGGAGAAAAATGAAATTAAGGGTCGACAATAGGTGGCACCAGCCTGGCAAGTGCATTACATACGTCACGACCAAACAGCAGCGATTGGTTAATGATAAAAAGTACCCGCCTACCGTCAAGCGAACGAATCCTAAAATTGCGAGGTCAGACTGTTCCTAAGAAGTGAAACCAGCTGATGAATCAGGCTGGGACCAGTGCGCTCTGGACTTTAAAACTGAGCGAACATTTGTGTTCAGATTACACCGTTTTCCTTTTCTCCAGACACGGCGGGACATGGCGATGCCCGGCGGTGCCAGGTTGAGTCGGGGCTCCTCACGTCCCGTAGACGCCAGTGTCTGCGCTTTTCACGTAATAACCTGCGTCTGACTCATCTGTGCTGTTAGTCCAACCCGAAAACTCAAATGTCGTGGCCATAGTTGATCCTAAAAAGGCTGATACAAACACGACTTTGACCCAAACGTCAAATTTTTAACAAATATGCACGAAAATGCCAAAATAAGGTCAGAGACAGAGACACACTTCCATTTGAGACACATTTACACAGAGAATCAATAATAATTAAAAAATACATCAAATCGAATGCAATGTGTATGTATGAAAAAGAAAACTAAGTTGTTGTGCATAAAAGTGAAGATTTTTGTTTGTAATTGATTAATAATTGTGTCAGGACTGAAATGTACTGATCTGAATGTTTAGAAACGATCGGTGTTGATGTTTTGTCTTGAAAAGGGGCAGAGAACATAAGACTTTTCTTCTTTCTGCTCCTTTTCATTCATTTCTTGTGTGTTTGATGTTGTGACACTCTCGATGTCTTTTTATACTTCATGAATGAAATAAATAAACAAATAAGAAAATAAAAAAATAAAAATAATCAGGAGAAAAACGCGATCAAAGGGTGGTGAGACCAATAACCTGCGTCTGATTCACTGGGGCCGTTAGTCCAAACTCAAATGTCGTGGCCGTAGTTGATCCTAAAGAGGCCGAAACAGACACGACTTTGAAACAAAACGTCAATTTTTTTTACAAATATGCACGAAAATGCCAAAATAAGGCCAGAGACAGAGACACACTTCTATTTTAGGCAGATTTAGTGAGAGAATCAGGAGAAAAACATGATCAAAGGGCCGTGAGACCAAGACCTTGAGACCAGGAGACAAGCAGAGCTGTTGTGAAAAGTGCAGCTGCTCCAAAACCAAAACATGAGGAATTTTATCTATTGGCCCACGCAGGCAGCGCCAGCCTCGCCAAGGTCGCCTCGTTTCTAATCGTCCGGGAGAGACTGGACATTTCTCTACGCCTTCACTGCTTTTCCCCACCCACGATTGGCGAGCAGGTCTGTTGTATCCAGCGCCCCCTGGCTGCAGGATCTAGAGCACAGGTGTCAAACATAAGGCCCGGGGCTGGATCCGGCCCTCCAAGACCTTTAATGTGGCCCTTGGGTGATTTTCTACTAAAATATTTGAATTATATTTTTCTATTAAAATCTTGTTAATTTTTCTGTGGTGTTTATCACAGCAGCGTCTCCAGCGTCTCTGTACGTGGCCCCTCCCACCAGAGCAGCACAAATGAAGACTTGTCTCTTTCCAAACGCTCTTAAAGGACGATCGTTTTGACTGTTGACCGTGACACCCTCATCAGAAAAATGTCCAACATGAGAAAAGTGGAGCCGAGTGCAGGATTTTACAACAAAAATTCACTTATTCCTATTTATACAAGTTAATGTTAAACAAGTTCATGTTAAAACAGGAGTGTCAAACTCATTTTGGTCCGGGGGTCGTATCCAACCGACTTTGATCCCAAAGGGGCCGGATCAGAAAACTCATGTCATATAAACCCCAAAAATAACAATAAGTTCAAATATTTGTGCAGAGAAACACAAATCTATTACAGAAATCTTTTTTAATTGATGAACTCTTTCTTTTACAAAATATTATAATATTATGAACAACCTGAAACTTTAAGAAAAACACAATTTCAACACAATGTTTTAACATGAACTTGTCTGTAAACAGGAATAAGTCCATTTTTGTTGTAAAATCCTGCACTCGGCTCCACTTTTCTCATGTTGGACATTTTTCTGATGAGGGTGTCACGGTCAACAGTCAAAACGATCGTCCTTTAAGAGCGTTTGGAAAGAGACAAGTCTTCATTTGTGCTGCTCTGGTGGGAGGGGCCACGTACAGAGACGCTGGAGACGCTGCTGCGATAAACACCACAGAAAATTAACAAGATTTTAATAGAAAATATAATTAAAATATTTTAGTAGAAAATCAGCCGAGGGCCAGATTAAAGGTCTTGGAGGGCCGGATCTGGCCCCCGGGCCGCATGTTTGACACCTGTGGTCTATGTAGTTCTCTCTGTGTTTTACTGCACCATAACTCTTCATTTAAGCAAAGAGACTTGTAGTTCAATATATTGTGATGGTGATGATGTTACACTGAGAACTTTGACGATACAATATCACGATACTTTGATTTGACTTTGCGATTGGCTGTAAATTCTTTTTCTTCTTCTCATATTGTCTGGTGTGTTTGTGTAATGTACAGATTTTTGCATGTCTAGATATTCTGTATAAAATAAAAACCTCACAGACATTACATCACAATGGAAATGCTCGAGACGTCTTCCCCTCTGACTGGAAATAACCGTTACCCATTTTATCTTTTCAAACGGCGATACCCGGGTTGATAATGTTGCTCGTACCTTCACAATATCCACCATCATCTCGAAGTCTGTGAGCAGCTCCTGAACGTCGCGGCGGAAAACGACCAGCTCGGCTTTCTGAACCGAAAACCTCCTGTTGGGGTCGGGAGCCGCGATCATGGAGCCCTGTCCCGCCCCGAACAGCCCGTTACAGGCGACTTCCACGAACAGCAGCAGGCTTCAGGACCACAAAAGGATAAGAACGTAAATACAAGACAGAAGAGAGGAACATCTGAATCCTGTATGCCAAGCCGTTTTAACATTTAAACACTTAACTGGATTTGTGCTGCCGATTTTTCTCTAACTTAGTTTTGCCAAGTCGAAAAGAAAATTTGGGATTTCTGCAAAGTCATTCTTCCTGCCCGTGATTGTCGTTTTAGATCCACGACGACATTCTTCAAGGGCAAATGACGTCACCTTTGCCGTTCATTTGTTTGGGATTCAGAATTACGGAAATCCAAAATTGACCTGGTTTAGACCTGGTTTAGACCTGGTTTTAGTTTCTGGTTTACCTGGTTTAGTCCTGGTTTAGACCTGGTTTAGACCTGGTTTAGTCCTGGTTTAGACCTGGTTTTAGTTCTAGTTTAGTCCTGGTTTAGTCCTGGTTTAGACCTGGTTTAGACCTGGTTTAGACCTGGTTTAGACCTGGTTTAGTTCTAGTTTAGTCCTGGTTTAGTCCTGGTTTAGACCTGGTTTAGTCCTGTTTAGTCCTGGTTTAGTCCTGGTTTTAGACCTGGTTTAGACCTGTTTAGTCCTGTTTAGTTTAGACCTGGTTTAGTCCTGGTTTACCTGGTTTAGACCTGGTTTAGACCTGGTTTAGACCTGGTTTAGACCTGGTTTAGACCTGGTTTAGTTTAGACCTGGTTTAGACCTGGTTTAGACCTGGTTTAGTCCTGGTTTACCTGGTTTAGTCCTGGTTTAGTCCTGGTTTAGACCTGGTTTAGTAGACCTGGTTTAGACCTGGTTTTAGTTCTAGTTTAGTTTCCTGGTTTAGACCTGGTTTAGACCTGGTTTAGACCTGGTTTAGACCTGGTTTTTAGTTCTGGTTTCCTTTAGTTTAACCTGGTTTAGACCTGGTTTAGACCTGGTTTAGTCCTGGTTTAGTCCTGGTTTAGTCCTGGTTTAGTCCTGGTTTAGACCTGGTTTAGTCCTGGTTTAGACCTGGTGTAGTCCTGGTTTTAGTTCTAGTTTAGACCTGGTTTAGTCCTGGTTTAGACCTGGTTTAGCCCCAAATCTGAAAACAGTAAAATCCCTCTGTGTAATCCGTTTATTTCAACAAAGTAACTGTAATCCAATTACCACTCACTGAAACAGTAACTGTAACTGAATACAGTTACTCATCATTTGTACTCTGATTACTTTACTCCGGTACATGTAATCTGTTACTCCCCAACACTGAAGATGAATCACAGATTTCTGCAGTTGTCATTTACGAGGTGTGACGAGTTGAGTGTCGTGTTTAATGATGTAACTGCAGATTTCTGTGATTCCGTTTTGCCTCGTCAAAACTGAATTGCAGATTTCTCTCACCGTCCTTTCGTCTAAAGTCAAAATTACGTTATAGATCAAAATAAAATGATGCCTAGTTGTAAAGATATTGTTGATATCTAGATCAGGGGTGTCAAACTCATTTTGGTCCGGGGGCCGTATTCAACCGACTTTGATCTTAAAGGTGGCCGGATCAGAAAACTCATGTCATATAAACCCCAAAAATAACAATAAGTTCAAATATTTGTGTAAGGAAACGCAAATCTATTACAGAAATCTTTTTTAATTGTGGAACTCTTTCTTTTTATAAAATATTATGAACAATTTGAAACTTTAAGAAAAATACAATTTCAACACAAAGTTTTAACATTAACTTGTGTGTAAATAGGAATAAGTAAATTTTAGTTGTAAAATCCTGCACTCGGCTCCACTTTTCTCATGTTGGACATTTTTCTGATGAGGGTGTCACGGTCAACAGTCAAAACGATCGTCCTTTAAGAGCGTTTGGAAAGAGACAAGTCTTCATTTGTGCTGCTCTGGTGGGAGGGGCCACGTACAGAGACGCTGGAGACGCTGCTGTGATAAACACCACAGAAAATTACCAATATTATAACAGAAATATAATTAAAATATTTTAGTAGAAAATCAGCTGAGGGCCAGATTAAAGGTCTTGGAGGGCCGCATCTCGCCCCCAGGCCGCATGTTTGACACCTGTGATCTAGAGCTTTAATTCCACTTAGTCAAACTTAGCATTTAAATGTTAAAACGGCTGAGAAACTCACCTGTGCGGCTCATCGTCCTGCAGCGCCCCCGAGAGGACATAACTGGTCTTCTCGCCTTCTTTGGTTAAGCCCTGAAATAATCACAGATCTAATGACTCTGTACTGAGTGAAAGAACAGGGTGACCGATAATTTAAGAAATTCTTGTTGAAATAACCTCAAACAACCTAATAAACGTCAATCATCATATAATTGTTGCACTGTTTTCCTGTGATCTCTTGTATAAAGCAGTGATTTTATATTTTATTACTTATCTTTCTGTTTTATTTTAACTGGGTATCATTGAGAAGTTGCCGATACGATACATACCTCGATACAGTGAGCTTTCGATTCAATACGATATATTTCAAATCGATTCGATACAGTTCAATAAAAATAAAGGCTAAATCATGTCTGTGATAGTAAAAGTGTTTGTTAAACCACTTTTTGTGCAAAGTTCATATGAAACACAAATATTTTAATCATCAAAACAGTGAAAATGTCAAATGTGTCGCATAAAAAAGTCTCCTTCCTCTAAACAAGCACCAAAACTGTAGCTCTGTAACAAAATAATTTAGTGAAATATACCAAAAAATACTCTTGGTGATATATCGATACAGCAGCCCACGATATCGATACTGTATCATCACATTCAAGGTTGTATGGAGGTTTTTGTTTGTTTCAAATTGTCAGTGATAGATTATAGATGCAGTCGCCTTGTAATTATGATGACCAAAAAAAAGAGAATAAAAATTCATCAACTCTGGATGTGGTGGGGCTAAACATTTGCCAATAGATAACGACACTGCCTCGTTATCTGTGAGCTGACAGGCTGTCAATCAAACTCCCTACGTTTCTAGTGTAACTGACTTGCCTGCGCCGCCGGTACGTGGTTTACGTACGACTGTCACGCAGTCCACAGACGCAAGACGCACAGACGCTGTTTACTCCACCAACGCAACAGTTCTTAGCGGCTTTTTTTGACCTATATCTTCCTCGCAGTTCGCACAAAGTTTGTTGCAATGGCGACAAGAATCCAGGAGCAGTTCGCCGCAAAAGAAAGTCAGTTTTTGAGGTCGCTGAAAGAAGAAGACAAGGGGAAAAGCAGCGAAGCCAAACTAAGGTGATTCTTGGAGATTCATTCCAGCGATGGCGCGACTGAAGCAGACGAAGGGTCTAAAGACTGATGCACTGGTCCACAAATTACTCCTGGACAGGAAACTTCTGCTTATTATGAAAACTTACTTTATTTCCAAGAGCTACACAAACGTTTTTCAGGACACGAAAGCGATATCCTATGTCTGAAAACGTAATTTTCAATGCAAAGAAAGAGTCCGCTTGCTGCTGCGTGTTGTAGCTAGTTCATTCGCACTGAATCTCCGCGCAACCTTCTCTGCTCCCCTTTCCTGCTCCTCTCCCCGCTGCCCCGATCCCCACTTCTCTCTTCTCCGTCTCTGTCTAACCAACACTGTAGTTAGTTGTTTACAAGTCATGTGCAGCGGCTGTAAACAAACCTGTTTGTGGCGTAAGGAGGAGGAGGGAGGAGGTGTTTCTACGTAGGAGCTGTAGGGGAGGGGAGGTGGTTTCACGCATGCGCAACATTTGAAAAAGGACAAACAGTCGCTGGATTTCTCGTTCCTTGGAAAATCCTCTATACAACCTTTAAGCGATACGATATATCGACATTTCAATCTTTTTGCACACCCCTAATATTTACATTTATATAATTGCGTCTTATTTGACACGTGTCTCTTGCTCTTTTTTTCTACTTATTTAGAATTTATTGTCACCATTTGTATTTTTTCTCTTCGTTATTATATCCAAATAATTTCCTTTGTGGATCAATAAAGTTTGTTTAAGTCTAAGATCAAGATTTTATATTTAATGTTTTATTTTTGTTCTGTTTTCAGGTTGAATCATTCACTCCCAAACAGAAGTCATTTTGCGTTTTGGAATCTGCTGCTCACACTCTGCCCACCCAAGACTGTTCAGCTTCAACGCAAATCTTGGAAAAACTTCAACTGGCAAACAAATTATGGGCGAAGTTTTTCCAAATTTTGCACTGAAGGCAGTAAAAATAAGGAATAAAATCAAGATAAAACCAGTTAAAGGCCAACAAAGAAGGTGGTGGTTTTCAAGTTAACAGCTCCTTTTAACTTTTAACTTTCCAATTTCTTCTAAACAAGTTGGAAGAGATTGGAAATTCCAGGCCTGAAATGATCCAACTGATTCTAGTGAAGGTGTAAGTCTGTGCAAATAATTTAATTTTGACCACGATTTCAATTTGTCTGTCAAACCATCTCCAAACTCATCTTATAATCGAGTTGAAACGAGTTTATTTGGGGATATTTTTTATACAAATAAGTATATTAATTTTATTTTTAAACGTAGAGATTGTAGAACAGCTGGATATATAGTTTATTTTGGATACATTTATGTTTTTATTGGCTTTATTTCACGTTCAAAGTTTATTTTATTCATTTTATAATTTTATACGTCGCAAAAAACTGCTCTAAGGTTCACATTTGCAGCCTGTATTTATTTTCCATTTGAAAGTTTTGCATAAATTCTTAACAAAGTGGGGGTTTTTTGAGAGAGAAACGCTAAAAAAAATATTGTGATTTCAATATTGACCAAAATAATCGTGATAATGATTTTTTTTCCATAGTGAAGCAGCTCTATGAAGGTTTGTGGAGTTTAAAAACACAGTGGAGCAGAGTGTTTTCAGTTTAAGAGAAGAACCCGGCGTAAATGTGCAGGTTTAAAGGTGTTAAACATGTGAATGAAACAAAAAAAAAAAACACAACTCCAGGTCTGTTTGTGACGAGGAAACGACATCAGAACACAGATCAGAGAACAGTGTGATCGGGAACTTTAAATTGTCTGTACATTTCTTTTTTTTTTTTTTCTGAGTCGTCCACACAGATGAAGATGTGGTGCTGTTACCTGCACCGGCTGCCCGTCCCTCCAGACCATCCCCTCCCCGTCGCTCTCCCACAGCAGGTGCACTTCTTTACTTCTCCAGGAGGGGGGGATGTTGAGGCTGACTTTAAACCAGCACGTGTACCACCTCAACACAAAACAACACAAACGGTCAAGAACACGCGACTTATTTACAGCATTTCACCGGACAGAAAGCGCGGGATTAGACTCAAAGAAAGAGTCTATGACAGAGCAGTGCCTCCAGTTAGCGGTGGTTTTACTCACGTCGGTCCAAAGGTTTCTCCGACTTTATAAGGAGTGAAGTTCTGCTTGAAGGCCTCGGAGAAGGGGATGCGTTTTGGAGATAAGAAGGACTCCAACTCCACTGGACACGATTCTCCATAAAGACTGAAAAAACAACAGAGACAAACACAAATATCAGAACAACTCGACGATTCAGCCAAAAATGTAAAACTACTGAGTTTATTACATGAATTAAATCATTTTTTTTATTTTTAAGATCTAAAATGATCTCAAACTTAACATAAATTTGAGGATACTATCAGATTTTGTGTTATTTTGGGGGTTACAGCTTTTCTTGGGCCTTCTCTTTGTGAGCTGCTGACCCTGGCTTTAAAGAAGCATTGCGTAACTTTTCTGGGGGGTGGAGGGTCCATCACCTGCTTTTCATGAAAATTTCAATTAAGTAAGTTCAATTTACTGTTCTCATGATTTAAAAGTTAAATAAATTGTATTTCAGTCAGTTTTGTTCTTGTGAATGCTACTTGACCAAAATATTATACATAATTATTGATAAATCACAATATATCATCCTTTGTTTTAGTATCAGGATATATTGAATCGTGACAGGGACATCGTGATGTGTATCGTATCACCAGATTCATGGCAATGCACAGACCTGATATATTTGGGTCTGGTCAAGTGGTAACGGAGGGAAACAGGGTCAGATTTTTGACATTCAAATGTCTCTTATTCAGAAACTAGAGGAACTATTGAAATAAGTAAAGTATCAGAATGTAGGAAAGAGTTACACTCCAACAGGGTCAAGTTAAACCTGTGATATTCTTTCAAGTTGTTGACAAAAAATTTAAAAACTCACGTTGGTAACGGAGGGAATGAAATATGCAGCACTTTTTGGTCAATAAATCCAAACAGTGATAACTCTTGGTTCTCACTTACATATCCTTAACAAACTGGTTTGAATATTTGCTTCATATAGTTTTCTACCATATGGTACAAGATTAGGTTGAAAAACCTCTTACTTTTTGACTCATGAGATTTTTTATTAAGAAAGTTCATGGTAACGGAGGGAAAAGTAACGGAGGGAAAATTGTACAAACAAGTAGAAGGTGCAGGATTTTACATCATTTGTCACTTTTTTCTTCTGAATACTTTAATATTACTTCAAAATGAAAGGAAACTATTTCTATAAAATATGTCAGTCCTTCCAAGCAAATTTTTATCATTTTAAATACATTTTTTTTAAAAAAAATCATGTACCTTCATCAACAGTTCAAAGATGGAATAACACAAGATATGATGAAATACATCCATTTATTTACATGATTTGCAGGTCTTTGAAATTTGGGAAATAATTTTTGTTCCATGTTTCATACATGGTCTGTTTAAAACATATGGAACTTTAGAACCAAAAATGGTACAGAAAAAAGGTCAACAGTTTCATAAACTAGAGTACATATGTATCTGTTCAATACATTTTTATATCAGATGAATTAACTTGAATTTTTGGCCTTGTTGTTTACTTCTGCTTGGCCGGGCCCATATACAAGTGTTTTTATATTTAGAAATTAGGTAATTAACATAGGGTGTCCAGACGTCCCTATTTCCCCGGGACAGTCCCAGTTTTGAGCCCTGTCCCACAGATTTATACAAAACCACTGATTTGTCCCAGTTTTATACAAGAAATGTCCCAGGTGTCTCTATTTTTGACCAATCTGATCCCTGGGAACAGTAAAAAGAGGTATAAATGGTTATTTGTTTAGATAAAATACAGAAAAGCTGCTTAAAAATGACCAAAACACAGAGAAAATGTGACTATACTGACTCACATGTTAATTGTGAATAAATATTTTCCTTAATTACGTGCTCGTTTCACCGTTTTATTATTACCAAACACCACAAACCGAGAGTGTTCTAGTTTTTAACAAGGTTTTTAATGTGATTTGTCTAATGTTTTAATTGCACACAGATTACACGTGGAGTTAGTGCACAGACACACACACACACACACATTGTTCTTGCAGTTTAATCTTTTTGTCCTCGGGTCTTACCGTCCTCGCAGGTTGCAGTCGGTAAAATAAATGTTGGAGATGAACTTTTCTGCTCTCTCCAGCAGCGTGCGTCTGTTCTTCAGCACAGGACCGTGATATTTCCCCGAACTCATGTCTCTTCATTCAAAACCAACAACACAAACTCAACACATCAGCTGATCCGTGCAGAACCAGGAAGAGACCGGAGCTGCAGTGCGGGAAAACACACGCTAGAGGGCGATGTTACTGCAGGGATTCATTTATTGGTATTTTATATTTATTTATTCTTTATTTCAGACACAAATATTATTCGGTTCAGAGTAAAAAAAAAAAAAAAAAAAAAAAAAAATTACTGAAGTTACGTCCAAGAAGGTACTTTGGCTTTATAATCAAAAAAATATTTGTATTATCTATCGCACAATTAGAAAATACACATTACAAATACATTGCACAATTGTTGAATAATAATAATAAATAAATCATAATTTAAAAAAACACGAAACGAAAAAACGAAAAAACAGAAGAACCGATCGCAGAAATGAAAACATCCGGTTCCCAGTTTTAATACTACAAAATAAAAGTTCGCATTTCCGTCAAAAAAAAAAACAAAAAAAAAAAACTCCCTCTGGCTTTATAATAATATTGTTCCACTACTTTTGACCCTTGTAGCACCTTACAAGAATTTATATCGCTTTCAATGTTATTTATGTTATTTATACTTTTTATATTGTCAATTTTTGGTTTAATTTTTTGTTAAGGGCTCGAATGTGACACGTTGACTATTTTATAAGCTTGTATGGTTTGATTATTAACTCGATATATTCAAAAAATTGAAATAATTATAATAAAATAAAATAAAAACATTGATGGGCTCTTCCTGCGTTTTTTTTTTTATTATTATTATTATTATTATTATGTGTTAATATAATACATGTACAATATAATACAATATAAACACATTCATATTTGTAACAAAGAAGAAAGAAAAACGAAAATAAAAACATAAAATAAAATAAAGATTAAATAAAGCAAAACTAACAAAAGAAACAGAATGATGAATACATAATCATTCTTAACTTAATTTTGGGGGAGGTGTAAGCCGCCTAAACACAAACTGTTAACTGGAAGTTTCACAACACGGTGGGACTTCTGGGCGATGTGAACGGGAGCTACAGGTTGGAGACTTCTGATCTAAATTCACTCTTTTTTTCTTCCTCCCATTCATCTGAGGCACAGTTCTCTTCGGCTCCATCAGCCTCCTCAGTCTCTCCAGCTCTTGTGTGTGTGTGTGTGTGTGTTCTGGCCACCAGGGGGAGATATTTTAGTAGTAATAATGTATTTCTTCATATCTTGGTCTGTGTATACATTTAATATTCATTGCACCGAACCAAAATAACCCTTGGACTCTGGCTCAGACTCACAGGTGAAAAAGTAGTTTGTACAAATGTTTATGGAGGAAAACACCTTTTTAATTCAGGAGCATTGTTCAAAAATCATTCACATTTATGATTTTACAAAGGGGCTCTTCATAAGTTTTTGAATCTGAGAGCTTTTCTTCATCAAAGGTCTTATATTAGACAAAAGTAACTCTTGTGAGAGTCACTTAAGTTGTGTTATAATGTTGTTTCCTCCTCAAAAACAGACCTGAAGTTGTGTTTTATTTCTTTCACATGTCTGAGTAACACTTTATTATCAGTCTGTCTGCAGCTGGCGGCTGAGTGGTTAGTGGGGTTGGTATCATTCAGAAGTTGCCAATACATACCTCCACACAGCGCACTCTCCACTTTTCTATGCTGAGAATTAAAATGATTATTCAGGGGACAAACATGTGTGATTAATTTGCGATTAATTGTGAGTTAATTATGACATTCATGAGATTAATTGTGCTTAAATATTTTAATCAACTGGCAGCACTAAACAAAACACAGCTCCAGGTCTGTTTGTGAAGAGGAAACTACATTAGAACACATCAGAAAACAGAGTAATATGGAGCCTTTAATAGGAGTGTGCAAAAATATCAAAATATTGAAATATTGATATGTCATATAATTTTATGTGATGATACAGTATCGATATCGTGTGCTGCTCTATCAATATATTGATATTTTTTGGTATATTTTACACAATTATTTTGTTACAGCTACAGTTTTGTTGTTTGTTTAGAGGAAGGAAACTCGTTTATGTGACACATTTGACATTTTCACTGTTTTGAGGATTAAAATGTTTGAGTTTTATATGAATTGTGGGGAGGCCTGGCCTGACATGATCAAAGTACAAGGCAGACGACAACAAAAAAAAGGTGTGTCTTTGACAGGAATGTATTTAAAACAGACTTCTGGAGTTAACGCAAAAGAAAGTACAAATAAGTAACTAAAATCAAACAGAAGTCTCTCTCAACTGACGACCTCCTCCAAGGTTTTAAAAATGGCCGACATGAGAAACGCCCCCTTTTTGTCTGGACCATGTGGAGCTGCAGGTGAGTATGATGAATATGGAAACTGAAATGAATTAACAAATAATCGAATCAAATTGAAATAAAGTATATTTAAATGAACAATGTCTAATGTCTAAACCAGGACTAAACCAGGGTGGTCATGAGCTCTGTTTAATGAGCTCGAAATGAGTTTCCTCCGCAGGGTGTCTGGGTGCTCCCTGAGAGAGAGGGTGACAGGACACACGGGAGGAGCTCGGAGTAGAGCCGCTGCTCCTCCACGTGGAGAGGAGCCAGTTGAGGTGGCTCGGGAATCTGTTCTGATGCCTCCTGGGCATCTCCCTCAGGAGGTGTTCATGTCCCACCCGGAGGAGGCCCTGGGGAAGACCCAGGACACACTGGAGGGACTTTGTCTCTGGGCTGGCCTGGGAACACTTCGGGATCCCCCTGGAGGAGCTGGAGGAAGTGTGCGTGGAAAGGGAAGTCTGGGAGTCCCTGCTTGGACTGCTGCCTCTGTATCCTGGCCTTGGATAAAGCGGAAGAAAATGGTTGAATGGATGTCTAATGTGATAATTAAACAAAACTAAGAAGTATTGTAACTGTAGTTGGATATTGAGAACAAAATATGTGAAATCAGACAAATTAATGAGTTGAAAATGGGACAAAGGTCCAGTTTGTCACATGAACTTTGCACAAGAAGTGTTTTAACAAAGACTTTTAGTATCACAGCCACGATTTAGCCATTGTTTTTGATTGAACCGTATCACATTGATTTGAAATATATCGTATCAAATCGAAAGTGCGCTGTATCGAGATCTGTATCGTATCAGCAACTTCTTAATGATTCCAGCCTTCAACAGTCTCCCTTCCCCCAGCCCCCGTGTGTTCTGTATAATGTCTGTGAATGAAAGTCCAGTGTGATTCCCAGTCCCGTCACAGGTCTCGGTCTTGTGATCACGGCTCTGCCCACGTCGGCCTCCAGCAGCACAATGCCCTGCTTCTCCTCCTCCCTCCGCCGCGCTCTCCCAGGATGCATCACTGTTTGTGGAGGAAGCGGCTGCCTTTGATGAACACTTCCACAGAGCTTAAGTACAGGCCCGAGCGGAGACTGTGGCCTGGTCCGTGGGTCTGGACGCTCCGGTGTTTGGACTGCGGACGCCAGAAGGACATAAAGCCTCGGTCCGGTCCGAGCTCTAACGGTCCGTGTGCGGTGCCAGCGGGTGAAGCGGTGACCTCGCTCGCCGTCGCACGACGTCAGAGGAGCTCAGACTGCGGGGCTGTGGACACGCTCGACCTGCACTTACTGCTTCATTTAAAGTCCGTGTTTTTGTTCTTATTTGTGTCGTGAAGTCCCATTTTATAACGTTTTATAGATGTCAGGGGCGTCCAAACCATGTGGCCCTCAGTCCTCAGACTTTCTCATGAACTGACTCATTTTGTCTTGGCAAGAACTTTTTTTTACTGTGAGTTTTACATCTTCTAATATTATAACTTCTTCCACCGCTGATTGACACTAAATTAAGATTTTTTTTTGTCAAGCATTATATAGTCTGGTTACAGTCCTGGTTTAGATTTGTCAGGACTCAGAAGGTCAAATATTTTCTTGGCGGTTCTTGGGCATGACGTCATTCTCCAGACAAACCAAATCAAAATAAGATTAGTTTACTGCAATTTGTTCTGTTTTTCTGTTTGAAATGATGGACCTGACTCTTTATAGCAAGAGAGTCAAACCCAAATTCACCAAAATTAAAAACTGGGACTAAGTCGTGGGACAAACTAAATATTTATTGAAAAATTTCAAAAACATCTGCATGTTTTCTCTTCTTTCTAGGTATGTAAAGTAAAATTTTAAACTTTTCTTATTAAAATAAATGTTTAATAATAGTTTTTCTTAAACATTTAATCCACAACAAGCAAAATATAAAATAATAACAACATTTTAAATAAATATTGTCTCTATAGTCGATCTGTGTGCGGCGGCAGCTCTAATACAGATTTGATATGATCTCGCAGGCTAAATATAATTATATCGTGGGCAAAATTTGGCCCCAAATTTTTATTATTATTATTTTATTTTTTGTAATATAGGAGAGATTTCTGTTCTTTCTGTTGTAATATGATAAAATTTGAGCTGCAGAGAGTTGAAAAAGTCTCTTCTATGGCTAATTATTGCTTGTTTTGCATTTTTTTGGTTGCAGCTCCGAACTTTTAATGAGATTCTGTTTAAATAATGTTGATTGGGATTATCCTGCTTTGTTTTTAGTTTCATTTAAAGTCCATTTTGTCCATATTCTCATAGGAAATACTCTTGTCAAAGTGTCCTGTTTTATACTGTTTTATAGAGTCCTGGTGAGACCAATAGTCCGGTTATAGACCTGGTTTAGACTCAGAAGGTCAAACATTTTCTTGGTGCTTCTTGGTGAAGTTTGAGAACCACTGCACGACGTCATTCTCCAAGAATAACATTTATGAAAATAATTTTAATTTACTGCATTTTTTTCTACTCTGTGGGGAGACCTGAGCTTCAAGAGTTTTGAATTATGAACCTGACTGTTTATAGTTAGTCGTTCAACATATGAAACCTGGAACAGTGAATTTTGGAGCTCAGTATTTATCATGGGTGTATTTTTTATTTTATTTTTTATTTTTTGCAATACAGGAGAGATTTCTGTGAGGTTTGAGCTTTACACAGCAAAAACTGTAGGGTAAAATATGTCTTTTTTTTTTTTTTTAACACAAAAGGTGTAATTTTTAACTGT